TCAGATGTTAGCTGAGTAAAGTATATTTATTGTTTATTTTTTTTTGCTAACAGTTTTTGAGACAAAGGAACAAGTGTCTGGCAGCTGAACCGAGAGAAATTGGGAAGTTAAATGGCATTGTTAAAAGGAAATATCATTTTCTATTTCTGGTTTCTCAAGTTTATAGTTGGTTTACTCTAAGGACTTACTCTAAGTATTCCTTACTTTAATCACAGAACATGCTCTATAAATTTAAAGACAGAAAATTGGCAGCCCCATCAGTAGTATTTCAATATTACAATAGTGTCTTTTATTAGAAACTCACTACTCCTAATTCATTCATCTGCTAGACAGAACTTCCTGGCTAACAGTCCATTGTGATGACATAATTTCTGACAAAGGCATTCTCAGTAAAATGGAAACGACCAGGACTAATCACTACAGTTTTATTTTAAGTATTTTTTAAAGCTGCTCATAATTCTTAGAATAAAAGGATTAAAAGAACAACCACATCACATCATGTCACCCTGAAGGGACAACTGCACAGAGGAAAAGGCACAAACAAAAAACCTTGCAGACTTCATGTGTGCCTTATTGTAGCAGTGAAAATGTTTGACTTTTGACTGCAAAGAGCTGATCTTTTTGTACTAGTGTTTTCCAAACTGTGTTCTGTTCTTTCCGATATAAAAAGAATTCCTGTGAAAAAGAAGTTTTGTCCCACAGCAAAAAAATCTGCCTATCCTTACATTTTCCAGACAATTTGGATATGAAACTCTTTTCCCGTGGAACATAATTTGGGAAAAATTGCTTTATAAAATATGTTAAGGTAGACTATATATGTGTATGTTTAAAGAGGAAAAAAACTCTTTTAATTCCCACATTAAGTCTTAACTGATCAAAAGAACTCTGCAGTTAGGGAAGAACCACTAGGTGGTCTGTGGGCTGCACATAAAGGTAAGGTAGATGAGTATTTCTGAAAGCAGTATGGAAAAGAAAGCTATTTGTTTTTGTTTGTTTGGGGGGGCTGAGACAAATGGGGGCTGGTAGGACAGGTTTATACACCAAACTGGATCTGTTTCACCTTAGTAGGAGTATAAGACAATAATAAAATGTCCAAAGCCTAACTGAATGATAACATACAACTTTTCTTTGGAACAGGTCTCAGAGTATCCATTCCTGAATGACAGAAAAGAGCAGTCACTTCAAAACTGGGATGTGGTGGTGGTGGGAATACAAGGGGTCTGAGGATAAATCAAGTTAAAATTTATTGGTCATCCATTTTAAAGAACCATGGGAATTCTGAATTAAATTGTTTTCAGATAAAACTCTAATAATTACTTTGCACAATTTTACATCCAAAATGTGACATATCCCTGATATTTTTAAAGCTAGTTTGAAAGGCAGAGGCTTAAGACAATCAAAAGAACAGCAATAAATAGTTTGTTTTAAAGAAAATAAAACAATGCTCTAGGCCGATGTTTCAAATATCAGTCTGTCATTCAACAAATAATTACTGACCACACATTATATGCTAACCACTGTTTTTAGGGCCACAAAACATTCCCTCCCCTCTAAACATCAAGCATGCTGTATTCTCTGCTTCATCTGCCTAGAACAGTGCTATCTCAGATATATACATGATATACCCCTGAAATAATTTCTGTCTCTCAAAAGTACTTTCAATAAAGAGACCTTCCAAGAGTACCCTGTTTAAAAGAGAGTACCCCCAATCCCTGCCAGTCAAGCTCTTATCGATGTCCCTGGTTTATTCTATAAAGTGCTTACTGCCATCTGAATATATGAACTATACACTGAGTGGCCAGATTATGATGACCGGCCAGATTATTATGACCACCCCATCAGTACTTCGTTGGGCCACCTTTTGCCTTCAATACTGCGGCAATTCTTCTTGTTACTGACTTCATGAGATGTGGAAAGGTGATGCGAGGAATCTGACACCATGCCTGATGAATAGCACTGTCCAGTTCTGTGAGATTTGACGGTTATGGGACCAGCTGCCTGATGGCTCTTTTAACTTCATCCCACAAATGCTCAATTGGATTGAGATCTGGTGATTGTGGGGGCCACCTAAGCAAGGTAAAGTCTCCCTCATGTTCTTGAAACCACTCCTGCACAATACGAGCACCGTGGCATGGCACATTGTCTTGTTGGAAGAAGCCATCTCCATTGGGATATGCCATCAACATGATAGGATGAACTTGATCAGCAACGATACTTAGGTATGTTGTGCTATTCAGACGTTTATAATGATCTGGCCCTTTAGCAACTTCAGCGGGAAATTATAGCTAATTTGCCTATAAACGTCAGGTGGTCATAATAATCTGGCCACTCAGTGTATATATAACTAGAGGCCCGATGCATGAAATTCATGCAAGAGTAGACATTCCTTCCCCTGGCTGCTGGCACCCGGGACCCGGGCTTCCCTTGCAGAGGGAGGCCCCGCCCACCCTCTGTATCCTGTCGGTCGGTGGCCTGGGCCTCCCTCTGTGGGGTGATGGCCGGACCCCCAACCAATTGCATCATACCCGCCTTGGCTGGCCTGGCGCCAGTGGGTGTTATAGCGTGGCCTCGGATGGTCGTCCAGATGGTCGTTCCACTGTTTGGCTGCTTGGTCCATTTGCATATTATGCTTTTATTATATAGGATTATATAGGATAGGGTTGTTTATTATGCTCTCCCCATTCCCCTGACTCTCTAGGACAGCCGTGGGCAAACTACGGCCCGCGGGCCGGATCCGGCCCATTTGAAATGAATAAAACTAAAAAAAAAAAAGACTGTACCCTTTTATGTAATGATGTTTACTTTGAATTTATATTAGTTCACACAAACACTCCATCCATGCTTTTGTTCCAGCCCTCCGGTCCAGTTTAAGAACCCATTGTGGCCCTCGAGTCAAAAAGTTTGCCCACCCCTGCTCTAGGATGACAGTTTCCTGGAAACAAGGTTTTCTGATCCTGTGGTATATCTGGCATCTAGCATATAGTATGGACTCACTTAATATTTGTTGTTGAAACTGTAAATGCCACATGGATTTAGGATAGAGAATATTTTAAATGGAACTGACCAAGTTAGGAAGTGATGACAGACGAAATCTGGTGGAACAGTAGAGATAACTAGCTAAAGGAAGGTAAAAATGTGAAAGCGTTGATCTAGCAGAGAATAAAACCTAAAAGTCCCGTGTGTTTGGAACACAAAGAACACCATATAAAGACAGGTAAGAGAGGTAAGTAGAAACTAGATAAGAAAAGGCCTTTTTGGGACTTAAAAAAGATTTTTAAATTAAATTCTCCCTTAAAGATTTGCTTAGAGGAAGAGGCAGAGAATAGTTTTGTGCATTTCAGAGCCAGGTCATTGCAATGCACAATAATAAAAATCACTCAGAAATATTCATTTAATTTAGATGAAGCAATATTTTTCAAAAAGAAAGTTAAATATTTCCTATGCTACATGAATAAAAGTCACTTATGAGTCACAAAAATCAAACCTGGAGCTTCTGATCATATCATTTGAATTAAATCATTTTACTTCTTGTATAAATAAGAATGTGTCAGCTTTCTAAGGCAGCGATTTTCTACCTTTTTTATCTCATGGCACACAAAGTAATTACTAAAATTCTGTGATACACCAAAACATATATTTTTTGCCAATTTAACAAAAATATAGGTGTAATTTTAATTTATTCACACTGGATGGCTATTGTTGTATTGGCTGTTGTCATTTTTTTAAAAAAATATTTTATTGATTTTTTACAGAGAGGAAGGGAGAGAGAGATAGAGAGTTAGAAACATCGATGAGAGAGAAACATCGATCAGCTGCCTCCTGCACATCTCCCACTGGGGATGTGCCCGCAACCCAGGTACACGCCCTTGACTGGAATCGAACCTGGGACCTTTCAGTCCGCAGGCCGACGCTCTATCCACTGAGCCAAACCGGTTTCGGCAGGCCGTTGTCCTTTTTTTAACTTGACAATCCAAGGGAAAAAAGGTCAGTGCCCCTGACTAAATAGTCAGGTACTGCATGTTTTAAAAATTCTTGTGGCACACCAGTTGAAAATCGCTGCCCTAAGGTGTTCCTGAACAGCCAAGCAACAGGCAGGTGCTATTTACTCAATATAACTCAATCATAAATGCAAGAGTTAACTACCTTTTCAAAATTCTGAGGTTGCATTGTACATAGTTCTAAATCCAAAGAACTATAAAGAACTGTCTCTATAAAGAACCAAATAAACAACTTGTTAAATGTGTTATTTCTTTTATGTATATTTTTTATTGGGATTCAGCTTCTCTCTTTGACATTTCTTTGACTTAATTTTGGAATAAACATATATAAAATTTAACATAGAGTCTGTCAAATAATAAAAATATCTCCTTAGCAAACATTTGATGAATGTTTCTTGTGGGCTACAGACTTTGCTAGCAACTTACATATATTATCTCGTTTTAATCTTACAAGATAGGTACTGTCATCCCCATTTTGCCAATGAAGAAAGTGAAGTTAGAATTTAACTTGCTCAAGATCACACAGCTAGTCAGTAATAAAACTTGGATTTATATCCTGATATTTCAATTCCAAGACATTTCCTCTTAACCAATATGATATATTCTTGCCTTTACATCGCATGAAGTTAAGTTCATAATAAACACTTATTATTTTCACAAATATTTAAAAATAAAAAGTATAAAACATTAAGACTTTCTATAAATGAATGACATTTCATAAACTTATTGCCAATGCTTTAAATTGTTTCCAAGTTACCACAAATGTACTCTACTGATGGTTTTTCTTCACAATAATTAAGTACACTAATGAAACAAGTTGAATCAAGTACTGTAATAGAAACTATGCCATTGACAAACACCAGGAAAACAACTCTAATACACAATTTTAAAATGGGAATAGAGAAATGGTACCAATGATTTCCAATATATAAAAATGAAGCCAAAAGATTTTTTTTTATTTAATCAATGCTATAGCATTTCTAAGACTTAGAAGGTCTTTATTTAACATTCGTATTTCTGATGTGCTAAAGAAAGATCCATTCACTGGAAAAGCTAAAAAAAACAAAAAAAAAACCAAAAATATGGACATATGCTAGGTATGAGAAAATTTTAAGATATTAATAAAGCTCCAATTTAGAAAGAGTTCTGCCTCATTAAAAACCAAAAGTCTAATATATGTGTGTATGTTAAGTTTTATAGCAATTACTAATTTTTAGATTCAATTCTTGTCCTTGTTCTCTAAATTCATTATGGCTTCTATTATGAATATCCATAAGCTTAAAACAAACAGGTATTATAAAAACAAACCCCAAAATTTCATTAGTCCTATAAAAATTGTGTTAATTAAAATATTATTAAGTTATTAAATTACAAGTTTATAAGTTGTTATTTTTTATGAAATTAATCAATGAAATGGTTGTTTCAATCCTTTTTTCTAGGATTTTATAGGTTGGGGACAGGAGAGAAATGAGAAGGAAAGGAAATAACCATAAAATGATGAAGTAATTTTCAAAAGAAAATCACTGAAAGACCACTAATAACTTCAAGTGAAATGCCATATAAAAGCTTTTAATTGCCTTAAATTTGTGAAAAACTACCCAGGAGATCAACAAATTCACATCAATGAACTGCATTATACTAATAAGAGACCCCTGGCCTGTAGCCAGAGAGAACAAACAAAATGAACCATTCCAACATGGCTGTAAATTATCCGAAAGGAAGAGAAAGAGACAGAGTCAAAGTAACATGTTTGCACAGTAGGAAAAAGATCAAATATTGATCAGTCCAAACTGAGGTAATTAGAGCCACAGTCAAAGAGATGGGATGTATGTTCCTAGTCCTATAGAATTGCATCTTAAATGCTGAACAAATTAGCTATTTGTTAGACTTTTTTTGTTTAAAAAAATTCAATGAAATATCTGAATCATACCATGTGTTTATACTTTTAAAATGTAATAACTTTTTTACCCTTTAAGAAATCATCTAATTTGTGTGATTTTCAGAAAGATTTATAAGAATGCTTGAATTTTAGTTAAACATATCTCTATTACCATGAGACTAATCACCTGTCCATATGGTAGTGCAATTAATCAAAGTAAAATAATTGCAAAATGAGGACAATTTGAAAATTAGTACATCTTATTAAGTATCTATTTATACACATCTCTAAAATTCAAGGCTTATAAGTGTTTCTAATTTTTATTTATCATAAAACCTAGACACTTCCTTTTTTTAAAAATATATTTTTATTGATTTCAGAGAGAAAGGGAGAGGGAAAGAAAGAAACATCAATGATGAGAGAGAATCATTGATCGGCTGCCTCCTGCACTCCCTGAGGTTCCAGCCCACAACCGGGTCATGTGCCCTGACCGGGTACTGAACCGTGACCTTCTGATTCATAGGTCAACACTCAACTATTGAGCCATGTCGGCCGGGCTAGACACTTCCTTTTTTATGAGGACATTACCACTATCATTTTTGAAAACTTTATAAGTTATAGTAACCTTAAAAATTGGATAAAGTTCTTAATAGTCTATGGCAAGAAGCAAACCAGAAATTTGTCTATTACTTGTTCAAAATGAAATTTTTATTTAAGAGCTATTCAATTATAACCACTAAAGGTATAGTATATGGCAGTTAAAATCAAATGTACATATTAAAACTGTGGCCAGTCATAACATAAACTAGAATTAACATAAAAATGTCCTCTCAGAATCAACTTGCCACAAGAGACTGTTCTAGAAAACACCTGAATAGAATTATTATTACTGTTCTGGAAAAACATTAAGCTCTCATATATAAATTTCCTGATATATATCCAAAGGAGTGTGTTTTCATATCTATTTATAAATTCATGGTTTTATAATGTTGAAATAAAAATAAAGTTTGTGTGCCTAACCTCATTTCTTCCCACATTTATGTGTTGATCAATTATGAACTGACTTAAAAAATTCTGTAAGAAATAGCAAATCATTAACAATTCTGAAGAAGGCAGCACCACAAAGCTTTTATATCATAAATTCAGTACTTTAGAAGCTGTTGATAAGTAGAATGACTGCCTATTTTCACATTCTAGCTAATGACATGTTCCAAATGCAGATAATTGTAGGTTAATTTGAAATTTTTAAATTTATTTGTCTAAAATATCTTTCATGTTTTCTTGTCAACAAGTCTATTAGTTGAAATTTACTAAAATAATGATTATTTGTTCAAGGTAAGGTATATCCTTCTTTTAATCATGCATGATTATATGTTGCTTAATTTTTGTGTAACACATCACATCTACACTGAGCAATTAGTTATAACTGGCTTACCATGAACAAACAAAACAGGCATTAAAATGTTTAATCAGTATATTGGTTCTGATCAAGTTCTTACAAGCTCCTTTTCAGAAAGTACCGAAGACAGGAAAAAGTAAGTGAATAGTCATTAATATAATCATTATTTTCACATTGAGTTAAATTACTATTCTTTTAAAAATAATGTGGTTTTTTCCCCCCTTCCCATCTTTCTGACATTTTACTCCTTTATTTTAGGACAGTTCTGTTCTATAATTTACTTCTTTGTAAAGAAAACAAAAAAAGAACTACATCTATTTGTGCCAAATTCTTAATCCCAGATAAGCTTTGACAGATGGAATAAAATACTCAAACAGTCAATGTACTATCTTTGCTATTATATTAGCTCTTCCACCCCCACATACCCTTTTCGCTTAATTGCTGGAAAAAGTGGATCCCACTCGATGAAAATGAACTGAAAATCTGGATGTCACCTCAGAAAAATAGGTTTAATTTTGAAATTTTTAGTCACATTTCAAGGAACAACAATTTTACTCATATTTCAGCTTAACATTTTTCACTATATCTATAACTCTATATAATAAAACTCTAATATGCAAATCAACCAAACGGGGGAATGACTGTTCACTAGGATGCACGCGGACCACCAGGGGGAGCACCGCTCAGCCAGAAGCCGGGCTCACAACTGGCAAGCACAGTGGCGGTGGCGGTGGCGGCAGCGCTAAGGACCCCCTCGGGGGATGTCCGCTGAGGGTTCCTGGACTGCGAGAGGGGCCCCTCCCCGCCCCCAGTGTATGAATGTTGTGTGCACCGGGCTCTAGTCATGTGATAAAAGTTACCAGTACTCCCCAAGAAAAACACTTAGAAAAATGTTCCACTGGAACACTGCTTTTATTGTCTCTTTGGGAAAAAGTAGAAAAGTAAATACACTACTTTGCATTCTGTTACCTAGTTTGCAGACAACTTTACTGACTAAAATAAACAATAAAGCAATGTTTATTTTTCTAGTAATAAAATCACTAAAAGCCATCAGAGTAAGATATTCTTTGCTTCCTTCTACCCCCCACAAGGAAATCTCTGCATGTCATCAATTGACTAGATATTTAAAAAATCAGGACAAATTAAAAAGAAAATCATAAACTAGAACTATTATTTTACTTTTTTCACAAAATCCCAGGAAAAATTAATTTTACTAAAAGAAAAAGCAGTAGAGCCAAAATTCTTACAAATTTTGGAAAGCTCATAAAAGAGAAAGGACGTCTAATTGTTCCATTGATATTCTTCTAATACTTAGAAGTGGAAACAGTGGGAAATAAAGCAATTTCTATGTATTGATAGACCACTAGCCTACAAATGAGATAGGAAGATAAAAAATAACACAGTTAATTAATCTTTACACCCTTTATCTAATAAACTTTTAATCCCCCAAACAAATATTTGTACTCTGTAGGATAAAATGGCAGCAATTTTCTTTTATATTCAGTTGCTTTGCAAAGATGTCTTGTTCACTGAAAGACACCAAACCAGCCCTGGCCAGTGTTACTAAGTGATTAGAGTGCTGGCCTGTGCACCAAAGAAGGGTTGAGGATTTGATTCCAGGTCAAGGGCTGCAGGTTTGATCCCCAGCCCCAGATGGGTATGTGCGGAGGCAACCAATCCATGTGTCTCTTTCACATTGATGTTTCTCTTTCTCTATCTCCCCCTACCTCTCTCCCTTCCACTCTCTCTAAAAAAATTAATGAAAAAATATATTCTGGGGTGAGGATTTTAAAAAAGGGAGGGAAAGAAAAAAAAGGTACCAAACCAGAAAGAATTTATAATTCTTTAACACAAAATAACTAAACATAAATTTTAAATACATAAAAAGCAAGAACACTGAAAAAAAATTATTTACTATTCCTTGTTCAATTACATGATATAGTTCAAATATTTTGGTTTCTCTTAGTCTCAAAAGAGATGCATTACAAAACTCCAAATACTATCAGATCTGGATGCATATGATGGATCACACTATAACACAGATTTTAAATTTTGTTTTTGTTCATTACTTAACCACTTAAACAACAAGTGGTTGTTAAACACTTTTTTTCCCCAAGTACTGGGCCAGATCACGGGATGCAAGGATAAATAATACAATAACAACTTTTAGAAAGCTCATAGTCTAGTACTCTTCATATTATTATTTTTTTATCCTCTTAGTCACCATACATATCCATGCCTCAATCTATGCTTAATCATACACTGGAACAGATCACTCCATTTCTGTCAATCTAAATCATATTTATAATTCAAGTTCTACATCTTCTATCAATACTTATAATAATTTCAGGCAGTGTTTGAACCCTAAGATATTAAGATTTGAAAAAAACTTGACAAACCTCTATTTCCTTTAAACTCTCAGCAGGATACTAGGCACATAACAGATTCTTAAAAAATTAAAAGTTAAAAATTTCAATACATGTAAAATAAAGACCAAATACTTAAAAGTTGCTATCTGTTTCTTTCACAAAAATTTATCCTCTGTGATAATGTTTTGACATGACAACTTGACTAGGCTAACAGGCTCCAGTTACTTGATCAAGCACTAATTTAGACGCTGCTGTGAAGATATTTTCAAGATGTAGGTAAAGGTCCCAATCAGTTGACATCCAGTAAAGAAGTATTCTGGACTAGAGGCCCGGTGCATGAAATTCATGCACTGGGAAAAAGCTCTCAGCACGGCCTGCACCCTCACGCAGTCTGAAACCCCTTGGGGGATGTCCACCTGCTGGCTTAGGCCCGCTCCCCCTGGGGATCGGGCCTAAGTCAGCAGTCAGACATCCCTCTCGCAGTCCAGGGCTCTTGCTCCTCACCACCTGCCTGCAGTAGAGGTGGGAGAGGCTCCTGCCACTGCCGCTGCGCTTGCCAGCCATGAGCCTGGCTTCTGGCTGAGTGGCCCTCCCCCTGTGGGAGCACACTGACCACCAGGGGGCAGCTCCTGTGTTGAGAATCTGCCCCTGGTGGTCAGTGCACATCATAGCGACCGATCGTTCCACCGTTCGATTTGCATATTAGGGTTTTATTATCTATACTAGAGGCCCGGGGCACAAAAATTTGTGCACTTGGGGGTCCCTCAGCCCAGCCTATGCCATTTCGCAGTCTGGGACCCCTGGGGGATAACGCCCCCCCGATCGTGGGCTCCGCCCCTGCCCAGGACTTACGCCTCTGGCCGAGGCGTTAGGCCCGGGCAGCAGGGACCCCCAGCTGCAGCCGCCCCTACCCGGGTGCAGCTGCCCCCCGATCATGGGCTCCGCCCCTGCCTGGGCCTAATGCCTCTGGCTGAGGCATTAGGCCCGGGCAGCGGGGACCCCCAGCTGCAGCCGCACCCCAATCGTGGGCTCCGCCCCTGCCCGGGCCTAACGCCTCTGGCTGAGGATTTAGGCCCGGGCAGCGGCGACCCACAGCCGCAGCCGCCCCTGCCTGCAGCCA